GGAAATGACAACCTCGCTTCCTATTTGCCCTGCGATCCTATCCGGTGAATATTGAAATCCTTTGATGTACGCGACGTCGCAACCGGTATATAACCACGTTGGTGGTCGCACTGCGCGTTTAACACTTTGAGCGCGGCGTCTTCTGGTAATAGAAAACCAAATTATTGGGTTGTTCGGAAAGAAACATCGTTCTTCAACAAAATTTCGTTTTCCAAGGGTGTTAGAAGAACAGCTGATTCAATATTTTGCCAATAAAATACAGGATTTCTGGAAACATAAGATTACAAAATCGCCAGAAAAATGTCAAGAAATTAAAGAATAATATATCTTTAAATAATATTTACTCTTAACATTTTGTTCGGAAAGTAGTTTCGTTCTTTCACGAGGTAATGAAAAATAATTTTTTTAATGTTCAGAGTAAACATTATTTAATGATGTATATTGTTTTACAACTTTGTCATATTTTTCTGGTGGTTTTGAAATCTCGTGCTCTTAGAAGTTCTGTCTTTTATTTAAAAAAATACCAAATCAAGTGCTTTTCGAACAACACAATACTTGTCTAGATTTGGGAATATATTGTTTGTAGCTAATATGACGACGTTAAACGATTTCCATGAAATTTTCAGCACACAAGTTACCGAGAGCTATTTAAAGAAAGATAAAACGCATCATTTCTTGATTCCGAACAATTGCTACTTTTGCAAAAACTTGTTTAGACTCTGCCTGGTAAACTAGCCCCTCGAACATCTTGAAAAGATTCATCTCATTTTATGCAATTTTTAAACAGTTATTCCATTTTTAAAACTGTTCAAATAGATTAGCGAGTAACGGTAAACGTTATTCAAGAAATCTCTGAAAATCTGAATAAATACCATCTTGATATGTTTATAAAATGACTAAGACAGACCGTTTTAAAGCTCTCAACATTCGATATTAAATATCTCTAGAAGTACCATTATCGATGGTGCAATAAAAATACTTTAATAAGTAACTGTAAATAATACAGAAAAAATTTTCTGAAAATCTGAATATGTACCATCGCGTTGTTTCCAAAAAAACTGTTAAAACAGTCGCTTTTAAAACTCTGAACATTTAATATGAAATATCTATAGAAATACAATGCATATAATATCTCTGAAAATCTGAACATTGCTATATTTCTAAAATAATGTAAAACAGTCAGTTTTGAAGCTCCCTGCATCAAATATTAAATACCTTTATCTACGCCGTTATCGATTTCAGCAGTCTAAATGTTTCAAACGTTTGGGATTCCATTCTATTTGCACAGTAGTCGATCCTATCCGATGCCAGTGCTGAAAATCGTGTAGATAAGAATAATCGTTAGCCGGGGCTATAATAAGACGCCAATCCGCGAAAACAGTCTGGAAAGATCTGTTGAGGGTAAGTCGAAGATCCGCGAATCGGAAACCACGAAAAGGAAACGAGATTGCTGGCGGATAATCGGGAAATTTCCAGCACGGAGCCAGCTAGTCGGTGTAATTACCTACACCGGTGAAAAAGAAGAGAAGGTGGAAACAGAACGATGCAAACGCGTTTGCGTGAGGGCCGCGTGTTGCTCGGCAATAGGGGCACGCGATAACGCTTCGAAAAAACGCTCGTAAATTGCGGCTAGCGGGCGCAGATAACAAAGCGCATTGGCGTGACCTTCTACCAGCTAGTCGCTTTTGAAGCTGCGACTGATAACGTGTACAAGCGCGCATGCGTCCCGCTCGCAAATTACACCATTCAGGTTTCAATAGCCGACCTTCACCCTACGAGCATCGGAACAACGCCGCGAGACAGCTTTCCTACGTCACCGCTCAAACAATCCCGTACGAAGTGTCGAACTAACGAGGAACACTGGTCGATTTGCAATTAAGTCGCACAGAGTTTGGCAAAATTTTATTCGGACGACGGACAAGAGGTAAGGATTTACGAATAAAATTGTATTCGGTATTATCGCGAAGAAACATCGAATCGAATAAAAATTGATCTAGAGAAAACAATTTATTCGAATAAAAATTCATTTCAATAAAAAGTTGCTTGTTACTCTCTAATTAGAATTTATTTGTGTTAATTTAAAAAATAATCGATTTAAATAAAAATTATGGAGTATAACGATTTTCTATAGATTATTGATTAATTTCTTCCATATTGATTTTTTTTCAACTGCTGTATCGGAAAGTTTGTTACTTGTAGGTAGATCGATCATTGATACATATAAATAATCTCTCTTCGGATGCAAAAGGTTAAATTCGTATTTACAATACATATATGTATGCTCAAAAAACTACGTTAGAAAAATCGGTCGATAATTATTGATATTATTAAACTAATAATTTTACAATCTGTATCCAAATAATTTATTCGAATAAGAAATGGAGCATTATTCAAATAACTAAATGAATAATTGTACTATGAATAATTGTACGAATAAAATATTCCAATAAAAAGAATTCATTCAAATAATTGTTATTAATTTCCCGTATCTCTGTAATACTATACAATTTTCCTAATGTATATACTTTTGACGTATGCAAATATTTCTGTACGATTTTATCATCAATTATAGTGTTTATTTGTACGGGAGAGAAACATCTCAAGACGTAAGCACTGTACTGTATCACCTGCCAAGGGCGCTAATTCTAGCCTAGATACTTCTTGTAAAAATCTGAAGATTAAAAGATTTATATAATTCAAAGCGATTAAATGATATAATAATATTATAAAAGCTTCGATAAGAATATTGTTTTATTGTTTCATGCTGTATGTAATAAATCCATAAAATCGGCAATTGCTTCGCAGAATAATTGCCTTTGGAACTGTTAAAAATTGCTGAATCGCTTTGTTATCGCATAAAAGCTAGACTCAAGACACCCTCTAGACTCAAATGGCGATTCTGCGTGGCAACTAAGAATTATCACAGTTGTGTACATCGTGCACAACGATGAAGGTTTTAATTTAGATACAGTGACTCGCGCATTAATATTCAAACATCTATTAAAACAGAGTAACATTTTTTCAAATTGAACGAAATCGCTTGAATTTTTTGGACATGCTAGAGGAACTTGTTATTTGAAATGACAAAACAAATATAAAAAAAACTCTCGTTTTTTAACTTTTTTATCTGATTCTATGTATAACGAAAATTTAAAAAATGCGTAGAAAACTCATATGTAAGCTGTAAATTTCATCGAAATCAGTTAACGTATAGAGTGAATCTGCAGGCGTTGAAAATTGCAAAAATCTGCAAATTTTTTAGTCGTCTTTAATTGTTTTAACTTTAACTGTTCGTGACTCTGGCCCATTCTGGGTCAGAAAACCTAGAAGAGGCAGTGACTGTCGCGACAATCATCCATCCAGGTAAATCGTCCAGAAACTCGATCCTCTAATTACCTGGTGGTGAGCGAAGAGACTGTGGCGGTGTTGTGTTTCGAATTAGCACACCCACACGTTACGGTAGAATTACAGCGAAGATAGTTCTGAGGACTGTGAATAGATAAGACGGAACCTTGGGATGCCCGCTAATTGACTGTCTAGCACCGCTATGCTAATTGTTCACGCGTTTCGGTCTCGTTCATGTATTCTGCGGTGAGTTGAAATACGTTATACACAACGTAATTCCTAGCCGGTATCGATTTTAATCAGCAAGGACGCTCATATAAGCCGTAATTATGGATACGCTCGCCGAGCGACACGATTATCGTCGCGCACAATTTACTTAGCGCTCTTGTGACAGACGTGCAAACACCGCCAAGACGTTCTTGAATTTCATTTTTCACCTTCCTGTTTGCGTAGCATCTCCTTAAGACTTTGCACTAACGATCACCCGGTGCATCGATTAATCCTACACTCAATTTACCTTTCGCTTATTCTTTTCTGTTTTCTGTGGCATTATTTGCTAAATAACTGTATAGAAAAGTGTTTTGCATTCCCTGAATACCTCGTAAATTTATTATTATTGTACCACGTTACTTCAACAAGCGTGAAATTGTTTTATAAGTGGACCTTTAAGTGGACTTTTATGCAAAATAAAAATTACGTACACTAATTAAGAGCTACACGGATATTCACTTGCTTTGTTACGATTGTTATCGATTGAAAATAGTGGCAACGTTATTTTTAAATTGTTTAAATGTTTTCACTGTTTTGTATTAGGATAAGTCATTTTTGGCATAAATGTATAAAATCCGCAGTCTATTTAGAAGATTAACAAGAGATTTATTTAAACTTCTCGCCATATATTTCTTTTTTATAATCTGAGCTTCAAAAAAGGAATTGATTAAATCGTTTCTTTGGATAGAATTTTCATAATTTCAACAATTTGAAAACAAATAATGCGAGACCGGTGATATTGGCCGACATGGCAGGTTTGTTGTCAAAAACTGCGAGAGAAGCCGGTGAATACAAGAAAGGGAAGATTTTGATATCGAAAGTAACGCAATTGGAAAATGTGCACTTGGCTTATTATTAGACAGCGATTCATTATGCAAACTCTCGTTTCCATACGTCACTTTACAGGAATTAGAATTAATGTGACGTTTCCTATGTCAATTAAAAGATAACATTCTAAGAATAAAATAAAATTGCTATTAGACCTTATACGTTCTCTTGGATTTGAATATGCCATATGCACATATGCCATAAATGCATGAAGAGTGTACGCAGTCTATTTACCACACTTGCAAACGTTATGCGATCCATTTAAACTCATCTTTTGCGACTCATCTTTTTCCACGAACGGCGTTTTCGAATTATTAATAAAAGAAAGATATGACTCGTCGCATATCATCAACGATAAAGTGACTCTTATGAATCTGATTATGAATGTAAATTGTAGTGCAACAGATCGGCAAAATAAATGAAACTGGATAGTCGAGGAACAATATTTATAATCTTGTTCCAAATGAACCCGGTAAATTTCGCTGGAAGTAAAATGGCTACGAATGTTGACAGGAAACGTCGAATCGAAGTATTGTAAGCGAAAATGAAATACATACAAGTGTTGCCTCGCGACCAGTGCTGGGCCTGAGTCCCCTGGATGATGGCGGTAACCGACATCATCGGCTTCTCCTTCTTCATCATCCTGGCAGTCTTGATATTTCTCTGTTCGCTCGTCACTTTTACTCCTCTGGCAGCGCGAACCGTTCACAAACGGGTAGCACACGCACGTTCAAGCGGACCGCGAGCGACACTCTCGTCGCGTCATTTCGAAAATGGAAAACGAACGACCGGTCGGCTTTCCGGGTCTCTTCTACGCACCTTTTGGTATCGATTTGGTATCGTTCACTGCGCCTCTCTTTGGTCGTTTCGTTGATTCCTGATTTCTCTATGATTGCCAATAAGCCTCCAATTTAGATCAATTTTTGCACAAAGTGAATCGGAAATTGTAACGCGATAAAAACGAAGATGACTTTACATGGCGATACAACGGAACCTCGAGTTAAACGCTGGTGTTCGGATAACAGAACTGTTATTTAACCCTTTCAACTTTATTTGTGTTATGTACAGGGTGTCCCAAAATTATGGTTCTTCCGGGAAATGAGGGATTCCTGAGGTCGTTTAAAGTAACTTCTTCCTTAGAGAAAATGCAATCGACGGCTTTGTTTACGAATAATTAACGAAAAACACTGATCAATGAGAGATCGCGTACGGCTGATGTCGCACTCTCGCGACCACTGCCGCTGTGTCAGACGGCCAGTGCGACACGACATTGGCCGCACGGACGAAGCGCCGGCCGCACTCGCTCTCCGATTGGTCAGGATTTTTCGTTAATAACTCGTAAAAAAAGCCGCGGATTGCATTTTCGCTAAGGAGAAAGTTATTTCAAATTATCTCAGAAATCTCTCATTTCCCAGAAATACCATAATTTTGGGACACCCTGTATAAACTTTGTATCTACTTACAGTACAATTGTAAAATTTTTATTAATACAAGATATATTACTTTTTTATATTCATATTAATTTTTAATATCAATATAAAAATAATATATCTTATATTAATATTCTATTATTTATATTAATTTTGAATGCGAATATAAAAATAATATACGCAATAGACATTTCTTCTACCACATCTTCTCATTCCATTATCACTTTAACTGACGCGCTAATCCTATATGGGCGACAGAATAATATGATCAGATATGAAAAGTTATTTTTGCACTAATCAAAAGAGCATATCTACGTAATTTTACTGTAATCTGCAGATTGTAAACCTTTAGAATTCAAAATGAATTGATGAGTTGACTTTTTCAATTTTTATTTTATTAAGTACTATACAAATGATGAATTAAATGTTGAATGATTTGTTCCAAAAATAGTATTGTATTTAAATCGCATTAGATCGATCTATTTACATATCAAACGAATAACAATTTGGATAACATTAAATTCGGATATCAGAGGTTCGAAAATCGCGGTTCTACTGTATTAATTTGTCCGACATGAAATGTCGAATTTCTTATCACTCGCGAAATTAGTCATATTTTATTGATTTGTCTGAGACACGTAAATGTAAGTGCATATTTAATCAATATAATGTTCACTTAAATAACAATGACACGATTAGCAGAAAGAAAAATGTGGAATGGAATTTCATTAAACAAGAATTTGTTTTCGAAACGACCGAAATTGAAAATTCGCCGAATACGTACTCTAGATGTATAAGTTATTTCATAAATATACTGTATTGATAAAAAAATAACATATTTTATTCGAATAAAGAATAATTGATATATTCTCCAGATTTATTCGCAAATAAGGAACAACGATTTTATTCGAAAATAAATTATTCGTTATTTACGAATAACTTCGTTTAATACTCGAATAATTTATTCGAAACGTGATTCGAATAATTTATTCGAAAAAATTATTCGAATAAAATTTTAATTGCATAATGCCCAACTCTGGCTGATAACAAGTTTACTACTCGGATGTTACGAATTCAATTTTAGCGGTGCTGTTTGTTTCGCGTAAAATACGAAATTAGCTGGAAACGTTCCCTCTCGGCGAGATTTAAAGAGGAAAGATTGCATCGTAAATCAGCCAACCAGTTAAGGGTTAATTGAAGGTTCCCGATATTTTTTCTGGGACACTTCGGCGCATAAAAAGTTGTTACCGAGAGTATCGTATTCGAGGCGAAGGTTCTAAAGGCACGATAAAGTAAACGTTAACGATTCCCGGTTCTCGAGGGAGTTGGATCGAAATGCGTCCAGAAACCGAGGATGCAGAGTCGAAAGAAAGGGATGCGGAGCCGGTTATATCGGAGATCAAACGAATTTCGCGACGAACGGTGACTGGCCGCAATATTTTATCGGTTTTTACGCGTCGCGAGGCTGCCGAAGAAAAGCCCAAGTTATCTGCGGGGAGTTCGCCCCAAAATTCGTGGGAGGAACAGCGCGTGTCCCCGGAGGATCGCGAAGTTATCGAGACCAGACCTCGAAGATGAATGCGCTAGGATCGCCGGATGACAGACCCAAGAATGTTTCCTAAAACGAGGCCGCCGGAATCGGCAAAAAACTGACACAAGATGTTACGAGATTGTTTGTGGATGCAAATTCGTAGACGGGCATTATTTGAATAAAATATTTGAAAAACGAATAATTGAGGCATGTACCGTTTCATCATCGATGACGTCTTGAAACAAGGTACGGCATATTTTATTTAAAACAGGGTAACAAATAATCGTAGGAAATAATGGATTATTTTATATACTTTATTATTTCGATTTTACGAGTAAGAGTTGAAAAATAATATGATTTTGTACTTCGTTCGAATATATTTCCAATTTTAAATACTTTACTTGAATGATAGAAATAATTTAAATAAATATATTATATTATATTATATTTAAATAAATCTAGCAGTGCAGTAAATGAAGAAATTAACGATGTTAACGTAATGGAAATACAGTGTTTGAGATTCTATTTGAAAACAGTATATAATAAATAATAAATAAAATGAAAAGTTATTCCAACTGAATATGACAAGATAATGTATTATTTTAACGAATATTTTACAAACAATTTATTTGAATAACGCACAAGCTTGTCTTTTAAAAATTCGTTCGTTTATTTGAACAATATTTCATTTCGTAGCAGAATATAATAATTTATTCCACAAATAACTTATTGAACAAACTCTGATAGAAATGAACGAATCGAGAAAATTACGAAGTAGTAGCAACAACGCATTATTTCGAATGATTATTTTTATCCTTAGTTTAAATAACATTTTGCCATACCGTAAATTCACCACTCGCGTTAATTGACATTTCGAATTGTAAATATCCCCATTTTTAATTTCACTTCAGCTGCGCTCAGCATCGAACGACGACCAACAATTTCGTGCAAAGTCAACCAACATCGGAAATGTCAAAATAACAGCAGTACTTTTCATTAAGGTATCACGAATTTTTAATAACAGTTAAAGATATTTTTAATAGCAGTTAGAAATATTTTTAATAGCATTTCCATTCAACAACTTTTAATAATTTTTAATAACAGTTTAATCTCTGCCAGCTTCTAAACAACGCGACTTTCAACGAATTTCAATAAATACTGTGCGACAAACTGCACTCGATTTCCGAGAAAATTTCAGTTCGATGTTCGACTGCACACGACTAACCGATTCAACTTATTACGTGCGCGAGTACCCGAGCAATCTTCCCGGCACTAATTTATTCAGAAACGAAGCATCGTACGGAGAAATGTCCCTGCATGCTTTCGACTCATTTCTTCATGTAGATTCCGACCTTCCTCGGATCGTGCCGGCAGCCTTGCGGTGTTCCGTGCATTTATTCCGAGCCGTATTGACGCAATCGTGAAACTCGCGTGCTCGATATACCTCTCCGTAAAAATGACAGAAAAACCCGGCGATGAAAGAATCGCAATAGGTTCGCCGGCAATTTCCTCCTGAGAGAAGAAACTGCAAGTTAACTGGAATGTCTGCATTGGTAGTTACGGGGAGCAGCGACCTTGACCACAGGCGTGTAGGCAGAAAATGCGATTGCCTTGCCTGAGCGACGACGGAATGGAACGGGACGGGACGGGACGGCAGAGAAACAATGCTTACGTAACGCGAGCAATTATGCAAAATGCAACTATGTCCACGTGCGTGTACCAGCCTCGGTGCATCTCCTATTCTCCGACCGTCGGCGTCGCGTGTATCCGTCTGACGATTGCTCGGAACGCCACCGACCACGACAATGACAGTGTGTCACCCGTCCACGCCGCGAAACCCGAGAAATCGTTACGTAAAACCTGCTTTCTAATCGGCTAGCAGGGAACGTCGACGGGAGCACCACAAAGAGGACGATTTTTCGAAAAAAAATAGGGCGAGAATCAGTCGGATAGCTTGATCCCGATGCATCTAACCCTATCTTTCTTGATCCGTAAAATAAAACTGCAATAATATTGTAAATATTGAAACATATACAGGGTGCTCCAAAAATGTCACGTAATCTGGAAATGGGGGTTCCCAAGGTCATTCGAAGTAACTTTTCCTTTACACAAATTTTCTCCGAAGCATCGTTAACGAGTTATTAACGAAAAACGCTGATCAATAAGAAGCGAGCTCAGCTGGCGCGAGGGTGGCCTGGCCAACGAGAGCACGAAGCCTAGTTCCGCTCATTGGCTCGCGCCAGCCGAGCTCGTCTCTCATTGGTCACCGTTTTTCGTTAATAACTCGTGAACAAAGCCGCGGATTGCATTTTCGCCAAGAAAAAAATTGCTTCTAATGACCTCAGGATGGCCTCATTTCCAGATTGCAAGACTTTTTTAGGACACCCTGTGTAATGAGTTATGCTAAATAATTTAATACGGGATGTTTTATGTTTTTACGTTTATGTTGTCGAATTATTTATCTAGAACTGATCACAATAATTGAAACACGGTACAATTAGATCAGTGTGCAGAAATTGGCACACAGTAACTAGAACAGGCTCGGCAACTGATACGCGCAGTAATTAACTTTCCATCTTTTCAAGGGTCCAGTAACTCGTTCGAAAACTGTTCTGTAGATTTTGCCAAATATCTTGCGTTTTTTTTATATGTTTAAATTTTGAAAAAATTCATACTCACATCAAAGACATCGATATATAATTAAATCGTTGCAAAGAAGTGCAAGATAGATACAAAAATAACTATATTTAATTTTTCGAAAACTTTAGATGCGCGCTGCTACCTAACCATTCATTGATCATTTGTAGGAATCACATTTTCAATTTTCTAAGCAATATTGAATATGGTTATTTCGTTGAAGAGAAAAATTACTTTCCGAATGATTTCCAATAGTTAGATTGTTTCGTTTAAAATTAGAACGAACAGATCGACACTTAATTACACGTATTCGATAGCCATAAATCAAATTACACAATTATTTTCAATTTATAAAGTCCTCTTTTAAAAAAAAAAAAAATGTTACCCCATTCTTAATGGTTATCAACCACTCTACGACGTCGGGAGCGTCGCGACGCTCTCGCGCAATTTCATTTCGTCTCCTTCCACCTGATCGATCCTGAGCCAGGGTCATCGATCATCCGGCCGGATTGATGCGATGGAAACACCATTTATTACAGCGATCCATCTTTGCAGATACGCTTGCAAAGTGGCAGAGCGCGGCTTCGCCTGCGTTGCCGGTCGGTTCACAGACGCGTTATTGGAATTTGGAGAAGAGAAGAACTTACAAGGAGACTTAATTGGTCGGCATCGATTGCGGTGTGCCTTTGCACGATGGTAGCGTACAAGGTCTCGATGATACATCGTTCACCGTTACAACGGCGTCGCTTGGATAGCGAGCCTTTTGGAAAACGATTCTGAATCAGTACACTGAATCGTTTTAATTTTGTGAGAACGTTCGATGTATTGACGCGACGAATAGAGCATGAATAGAGTGCTATTAACGCTTCAGCCGCGGCCAACGTGGAATTCGCGTAAATTTTACTGCAAAAGGTGTTACAGTTTCTTTTCAAAAAGATCCTAAAGAGAGTTGAACAGGGACGCGCAACTTAGGCTAGAATATCCCTTTAACCCTAGAAAGATAACCATATGACAACGTACGTAAAAGATAACCATACGCTTCAGAGGCGCATGCTTTTCTAAGGCGTCAATTTTATACTAACAATGGATATTTATTTAAGTTAATCTAGTCATTTTAAAGTTTTGGCATTATTGTAAAAATAAAATGCATTCATATTATATTTTTTTATATTTTAAGTAATTTTAAACTTAAATCACTAGACCTCTATGAAAAATTAACAAAAATCAACAGTCTTCGCAGGCACCTCTGCGACGTAGGTTATCTTTCTCGGGTTAAAAACATGAACAATTTAACACAGCAATTAATATGTCGATCGTGATATTTCATATTGCACGATCACTGGATCTATATGTAGAGAATCCATGCTGCAGGCGCGTAAAGAGTTGGCGAACAATAGGACATCAAAAATGTTTAATTGCAAAAGAGATGTAAAGGATGCTGTAACAAAAGTGACGGAAGAAAGAAGGTGGCGATCCCCTGACAAACTCGGACGGGTCCCTTTTGAGGCCTACTGTATTTCCACCTGATCGGTTCTACAAGGTCATCGATCATCCAGTCGCCGAATCGACGCGCCGCGAGGGGAAAACACACCATTTCTAATGGCGATCAACGGTCCCGAGGTTGAAGTTCAAGGTTTATTCCCGAAGAGCTTGCAGTCAGACCTTGTCCATCGAGAAACACGAATCGATATATACCGGGCGGCCCCGCGAGTACGGCCGAGCGTGTTTATCCTTGAAAGTTCGACGGAACGATTTTCAGCAAACAGCCCGATGAAAATATGGCAACTTTAAACTGGTCAGAAGCTCTTTCCAAAGCAGAATCTTAGAAAAATAATGGATTTGAACGGAGATTAAGTATTGCTAACGAATTTGTTTTTCTTCTGTGTACTCTTCAACTACACATTATTAGTTTGTAATCTAAAGGATAATTAGCTCGTATAATAATATTTACAGATTTTAAACGTATCGAATAGCATTGAATTATTCTTGACATTAATATGCATCTCAGAAATAATTGCACGAGATGTGCATTTCATTCATAATCTCATATTTCAACGCTAAACCTACCGAGCCGGTCAAAATAATTGGTTTCACATTTGTTTATTTTGAAGTTGTTGAACGTGCAACAGTGTTTAACGAGTTCCGTGCCGCGTATGCCACTAATGGTACATGCTTACATGTTTACTTAATGCGCTAAAAAAATAGTTTATAACAAATTTAGAACTGAAGAATTAATCTGCACCACAAGAATGGGTCATAATAAGTTTGTTTCGTTGTTATATATATATATATATATATATATATATATATATATATATATATATATACGATAATTAATAATTGCATATAATACATCAAGTTTTAGTAAAATATCAAATGGCCAGTGTGAAGAGTCGAGTAAAGACAGTTGGGCACAGAACGTGTTAAAAGAATTAACCCTTTGCACTCGAATGTAATAGCAAATTGCTACATTATTTCTAAAAGAATCTTCACGTTATTAAAATTTTGATACATTGTCAAATAATAGAAGTAATAACTTACAGTATAAGTAAATTATACAACTCTTATAGTATAACTTATATTATTTTTATTTAAATTCTATTTCATATGTATCAAATAAAAACAATTGTACCAAATGAAAATACTGTAGGTTGAAACAAACGTCTTCTCGTGTTAAAATAGTCTCGAGTGCGAAGGGTTAATACTTTAAGGTACTTTTTCGTTGTCTACGAAAATACGAGTTTGCATTAACTTCCTTAATCCGTTTATGATAGCAGCTGCAGTTCTTATAAGTCACCGTCAGGTCAAACTTAATACGTCCCCCGTCTGGTGAACAGATTAAGAAAGAACAGCGCCTGTATGTATATTTCTAGCAAAAATTGTCAAGAGAACGAATGTTGAGCGTTGGATCGCAAGGACGCGCAGAGACAAAGGAAAGTCTGCCGCTCATGATTTATTTATTCTAGAGCGACTGAACTCGATATGTTATTGTCATCCGCGGCACGAAAGTTAATCGATAACGCGCGCCTCACCCGTTATTCACCTCACGTGTTGTCCCGATGTGTACGCTGTTTCTCCGCTACTGGCCTCCGAGTTAGTACTGCGCAGTCAGACTCTGAATTTGACGTCCCATTAGTGAGACCCTACCGCCATTTTCCTATCGAACCGTTACGTTCGTTTAATTTCGAGTTTAATGTAAAAGCCGTTAAAAATTTTTGATATTAACTTTAAATGCCACGATACCTTTTTACGACTTGAAAATAATCCTTTGTACTCGGATGCCCCCCTTGAGGAGACATAATAAAATTGTTAGTAGTTATTAGTAATTTGTTTATTCAGTAAGCGATGCCACGGAATTTTATGTAAACTCACATTTTTGTAATTTTAAAACAGTTTGACCGTCACGACCATTGTTTTTTGTTATCGAACTTCAAAATGAATTTTTATTAAGATTTGTTAACCCCTCGGACGGCGGCCATTTTTACAACTGTACCATTGACAATTGTTACAACAATTCTGAGCTTTATTCAGCAGTTCGTTAAAACATATTTTAGAAGATACTTCTCGCAGAGTTGCTAACCTTTCTGTTGTTCTTAATACAACAATGATTTGTTTTATCGAATTGTCGAAAAATGGAGTAATTAAGTGAACGATTTAAATACCCTCGGTCAAAATAACCCGGTAACCGTACTGCGAGGGTTAAGTAAATCAATCATTTGGTAGGTTACGAAAATCTGTTAGCAAATTACAAAAATAACTACTGTGATAAATATTGTAACGAGAATTTTTCTATTCGCGTATTTATACAAAAATTGTTCTAATTTTATGGACAGTCTTTTATGAATACTGGTAACTTCAAAATATACTATCGAATCGATTACTTGACCACTCGACACGTACAGTCAAATATAAACAAAGTCCCCTATTTGACATAGTTGCTCTATTTGCTCGGAATCAGCCAGGGGCGGCTCTTCGAACCCGTTCAGGGCCAAAAGTTCGACCATTTTTTGTGATCCTCCTTCGCTGCCGATGCACTATAGAGGATCTACGGAGCAGCAAAGGGTGAAACGAAACTCGTTTACCGGACGAGCACGAAACAGGAGCTCTGTATGCACGCGCGATCCAGAAGCTAACGAAAAAGTTGTCCGCTGCAATGGTGCAGCCGCAGCTCGGAGGTCGCACGGGACCTTAAATGCTGCGTAGAAGATTCAGAAGAGAGAAAGAGAGAAGAAAGGGTGGACGACACGAACTGCGCACTTTCGCAGTTAGGGGACGATGATTCATGAGCACACGCGAGCCAACCTGTCCGGCCGATAAATATGCGAGGCATTCGTTGCGGCGTTATAGAAAAATCCGACGGGAACCGAAACACTGGTTCGGTAATACTTATATCATCATCCCCGAGTGATACACGTGTCGATAATACATTATGTAAAAATATGTGCACGAAATGTTTTATTTTTAAAGTTACGCGGTTCGTCGAAACTAGTTTTTGTATGCACGGTGGTGTGTTATAGACTCGAAGTAACTGTTGCATTGTTACCGATATCTAAACAAAAACTTCAACAAAATATATTTTATATTTCTATAAAATATATTTAAAAAATATCTTAATATCAATATATCTTAATATCTTAATATAATATCTTTAAAAATATATAAAACATCTTCGAAATACATATTTCATATTTTGTCTATATTAGAAATAATATAAAATAGAAATATACGAGTATGATATTTTGTTAAGCTCTTTTTCAAATATACAGATAAACCGCTGTTCATGTTTTCGCTAGAACCAGCTAAAATATGGAATCTACTCTCGGAATGATATACAAGTAGAAACCCCGTTTATGCGAACATGTCGAGCAAGTTCGTGCAATAGGAACACATTAATTCCCCTCTTTAGCTGTACTTGTCAGTTTCGAGTTCATATGCTTGGAACCAAGCATGACCTTGCGTAGGGAAATGCAGTTCTGCTGTAACTCGGATACGAGGAAATAATAGTCTCCATAAAATGTGACTAGAAACGGTTGAAATCGGTTGAATCGTAAGGATTGATCGGATAATAAATTGTTAAGCAGAAATATATAACAAACTATGAATGCATAAAGCAAAAATATTCTCGAAAGTGAAAGTCTGCTACGGCAAAACAAATTAGTTGATTACGAAAGTGGTAAAACTAGCTGGAAGTTATTTTTGCGTACGAATTCGTTTTTTGCGACGCGATAAGAAAAACGACTGTTACTTTTACAGAATAGATACATATATTTATCGCTTTATCTATTAGAAGTCTATTAATAGCATTTTCAACTGTTCTACTATATTGAGAGAAGACTAAACAATTTTTTTTCTACATTATATAAGCCTAAACAAAGTTATTAGATAATGTTACTGGAGACGACACGTTGGTACACGATCGAAACAATTTAGTTAAGAAGTTTTTAACCGTGTAATCGTAGATTTTCGGAAATTATAAAATCATCGCCGGTAGATAATGTATAAAACATTATTTGTTCGAGGAATTGTATGTAATAATCGAGGCCTTCGTTTTTAAACTAATTTGTCATTGTAACGAGTGGAGAAAGAAACGTTCGTCAAAAACAACTCAAATAAATATGGATTCGTTTTTGTATACAATAGAACGTATTCCTGTATTTTATAAACTGTATTCAATTCGAAACTCCAATTGCTATGGAGCATTTGGAGGTCAAGAATTTCTAACAGAGCGACGTCGAATATCGAGCGAACAGTTCACCCGACACGTGAACACCAATGCCCGTAATAAGTGTAACGTGCCGCAACACGAGTCACTATCGCACAAGTCACGTTCGATTACGACACTGCCAATACACTTGGCGCGATCAATAATCTTTTAGCATCCACCGACACAAGAGTTACGCACACTTCTAAGTTCACGAGTGGAATTTTGTTTACATAGTTCTTGGCATTCGTGTCTCCTCCGTGAAAATCCATGATCTATCGATCGAAAAAGAAACTTGAGAACGCTACTGAAGTTTTCGACAATTAAAGCGAAGTGATTCTGATTCCGTCGGCCTCGGATCTAGGAAAGTTGACAACGCGAATGTATAATAAATGATAATTTTTGATAATAGATCATTTTTCTTTTTGCAACGATTTCAGAAGAATTTTTTAATCCTTCAGCTCTATGTGTGACGAGTATATTCTTCGTGATACGTGCCGTTTCGATTAACACTAACAAACTTACTGAGCATTTAAAGATGCCTGACATGTGATACTTTATATAAATTGTATAGTGAATTCAATTAGACATCCTATTATTCTTATTGTAATATGTGCTTGGTCTAAAAAGTTAATTTAACCATTTCCTACGAAAGTCGCCTTGTAATTTCAACAATTTTAAAACAAATAGTGTGGAACCGGGCATTTTAACCGACAAAATAGGTTTAGTGTAAAAGTTTTTCTCGAACGTACTATTTTGATCATAATTTTTGTGAAACGTACTATTTCGATTATAATTTTTGTGAAACGTACTATTCTGATTATAATTTTTATGAAACGTTTTCGTAAGTTCGAGACATTTTTAAGAACACACTGATGAGTAAATTTTTTGCGAACCTACTATTTTGGTTAAAGTATTCCCGAAATGTAGTGTTCTGATTACAAATTTTGTAAAACGTATTCGCAGGAATCAGACAATTCGGAACAACTTGCCGAAATTATTACACGCGTTGTGATCGATAAAATATGTCAGAAAAATTAGTCCGCATAGCTAACAGATTCACTCGAATATTATGATATATTAAACGTAACTTTGTCAGAATAAAGTCGAACTTCCCGTCCGAAAAAAAACGAAGTCGTCGGCAGCCCCGCACTCGGAATTCGAAAATACGATCGTTTCGCGTGTGTGCGCGCGTGAACCGAATACCATTCGAACCCGATCACCGTGTAGACTCGCTCGGAAGCGACGAAGGCGAGCGTGTTTCGCGAACGACGCTCCCGGCTGTCCTTCTCGCAGGGAGACGCACCAGTTTGCACCTTGCTATGAAATACTGACGCGCGGAAATTTCCAACACGGTTCTCCCTAGATATTGTGCTCGGGCACGTGTCTCGGTACAGTCGATGCTAGAGAAATAGTAGAGCGAGCGAGAAGCCTCGACAACGGAAGTACCGTCGCGTCGGTCGAACGGATCTAGCGATTTTCCAACTTGAGAACTGTTCGTGCGGAAAACTCGGCGAGACCGCTTGCGGAAAAAATAAATTGTCACTTGTGCTGACGTATACGGTCGACGAGACCGCTAACATAGCAGAAGTAAACACAGTTCCCTGCTAGGTTGGGACCTCGATGACCGAGAAACGGTTGTCGCCACGATTCACAACATTTCCACTTTTAGCTATTGTTTACGACTGATTTCGTCTCTGTAACGCACTGATACCTCCGAATGCACCAACGTCTCTGCAACTGTGGGCGCTGCAGCAGTTCCCGGAATTAATAGAATCAGCGGAGTCGCGTCGCCGTGGTGTTCATCACTGCACTTCGAACAAATTTTGAGGGCCGCGATTCGAGTCACTCGAGACCAGCTTCACTTTCAGTCTCATCGACTTCTCTATGCCGTGCTCGAACCTCGATGGAACGAACGCAGCGACTTTCTACGGAGCCTAGGGGGCTCGAACACTGTCTGCGCGAGTGCACTACGTTTTCAAAGATAGTCGTCGGTGGTAACACACAGCGGCACAAGTGCGTATCTGCACGGCGGAGGAAGCGGAGCGAAATTGTGATCGGATCGTAGACGAAATCAGCCGAAGTTCATGTCCGAACTTGCGTCACTTGTGGATCTTGACACCGGGGAAGAGCCACTGCATTGGTCTCCTTGACGCTGCACTATTTCTCTATCGCCGACTGCGCGCACCAAGTTTCGCCGATCCGGATTCGAGATCCACGGCGATCGGAACTGCGAACGGGACGTGGGGTCGATCACGTTTTTCTCGGTGAACATAGCACACGTGCACGACGATGGCGAAACACGCGGCCAGCACACTCGGACACGATCGAATGATCCGCGACGCGAATAAATCTCGGCGGACGAACGCGAAGACACCCGGGAGCGAGGGAGAACGAATCAACTAAACGGAATAGGAACGAGTGAGAAAGAGAAATGAAACAGAGAGTGTGAGAGTGTGTGTGTGTGTGTGTGTGTGAGAGAGAGAGAGAGAGTAACGCAGGCTGCGATATACCTCGCGCGCGTGTACCGTCGGTCCGACTCACTGACTCAATGACTGACTGACTGACTGACTCAATGACTGACTGACTGACTTGGAGATGCACGGCGCTAAAGGCAACTGAATGCCAGCCGGCCGGTCCGGCTCGTTGCATGTGAGCGTGCAGCCGGCTGGGAACTCGGGCGAGTGGGGCGGCAAGGGGTACAATGGACTCCGGGAGGGGATACAGTGGGGAAGGGACGACAGGAGGAGGGCGGCGGAGGATCAAGAGGTGGTGAAGGACGAGGAGGAGGCGATGGAGGACGAAAAGCTGGCGGCGGACTAGAACCGGGGTGGGGGGAAACTCGGGAAGGAGCGCGTCTCCGAGCTGGCCGGCCAGGAACGTCCGTCTCTACTTGCACTTTTCTTCGCAGGAAAATAAGCGAGCACAACCCTTTCGCTGTTTACCCCGTTGTTTACGTCCCAAGGACAAGAGGAATACAGTCGAAGTGTTTTCTGATGTTTCTTCTGCCGGTGGATCCTCTCTAACTGCCAAACAAATAGGGTACTTCACGGTCGGGGACTTAACCCTTTTAGTGCCGGACTACGATGTACGGGTTTTCAACTAAGATATCATCCAATTCGCAGGTTATATTCAACTTTTTCGAATCGAATTGATCCTTCGACAGGTCAGATTTAAGTTTTTTAAATTAAATTATTCTTTTATAGATCATCTCTCCAAATTGAGTTCATCCTTTGGCAGCTCGTAATCAAAGTTTTCAAATCAAATTCATCTTTTGCAGATCGTTTTCAATCGAATTCATCTTTTTGCTAGACCTATTCTCCATTTTTTTTTTAAATAGAATTCATGCACAAATTGTTATAATTATTATATATGCATGTACATAAAATTATCATGATAGGAGAATCATTATAGACGCAGATATGATCACTACGAATAAGTTACATACCTTTGAACTAAGAGGAAAAAATTTTTTTTAATTTTCTAAATGATGAATTATTGTTTATTAAAAATGTAACCTATATACATATTGTTATATGTTATTTGCTTAGTAATTTCGGATAATTTGAATTATTTATCCGTCAGTAGAAGAAAATGGCTACTATTTAGTCATAACTCGTTTCTGGAATTCGGTAACGGGTATATCCCTGTGGACTTTTATCTGAAACAGGTTTTATAAATTTTACCTTACACTAGATAAAAGAAATTAGTACTTATCAAAGCGAAATTTTGATTTCTGCTTTTCTCTTTATCTTATTAACAAAACAAGTGAAAACATTTATGTCGGCAATTACAGGTTTCCTTCAAAAAACCGTCATTTTGTAAATAATTAATATTTTCGAAATCGGCTTCAACAAGTATTAGTTTCCTGTGTCTATATATATATTTTAATGTAAAAATTAAAAAACTCTCTCTTGTTCGGTTTCAATTAAACTGAAGTCATTTTAATTTTTGCACTGTACAATGAGTGAAGCAAGGTAACTTAAACAAAGATACAACCACTAAATATCGATATTTTACATTTTGCTACAAAATTCCTGTGGGAAAGTATTGCATCATTAAATTATATATCCCATGATAATTTTAAACATTGAAAACTTCTGGTTAACACTGTATTATTTTCAAGATCAAGTTACTAGAGTATCGCATCGATAAAACGTCGAATTAATTTTGATGAGTGTGCATATTTCTTCAACAGATCAATCGAAGCAAAATACTACATTGCGCTCATGAATATTGAACGTGTACAGTAAACGAACATTTGCAATCGATATCTATTTTAATTTTCTGTTACAAGTTGCAAGATAAGGGCACGGTAGCATATTCGCAATTATATTAATATGAAAATATCATAGTTCGCATCTAACAGGCTCGACCAACTGCGATTTTTCGAAATCTGATTTTAGAAATGTTATTCCGTTTTAAAAAGGCATTGAAATAGTTTCGCGATCGACTGTACGCCTTTCGATTATAAATAACGCAGCTTTCTCGGATATTCCGTAGTCGAGAAATGGAATTGGTGGTAAAATGATCTTTCAGCTGTATACTAAACTACTCGTTGCGACTTTCGTGGTATACCTGAGTCACGAATGCACTGCGATCGTTTTTAGACTTTGATTTATGAATCGGTCAGATCTCATGTTTTACACATTCCTTTTACTACTGCTATTATTATGTTACCGGCTATTGCAGTGGTTCGCGATGCATAACGTTTATGATGTTTAAATAATCTTAAAAGTACTTATTCATTAATTTCAAAGTCAACGTTAAAGTGCATAATGCAAGAATAAAAGAAATTTTTCAATAATATATATATATATAATATATTATAATATAATTATTATTTTCTTTTTATACTGTAAAATAATCATGCAATGCACATAAATAAAAATACAAAATCTTTTATTTTTTAATTCCTATAAAATTTCACAGCAATATAATGATCTTTTTTTCAATTCAACTTTGTATAGCAAAATCACAATCTTTAAAACTATTTCTCCCAATTGCTGGTAGATATATGTATATCACAGAAAAATCTTCCAAGTGTAAAGGGTTAACTAAACCCCTCTTTTTTAAGATTGCTATATGGATAATTCTTGTAATTTTTGCCTCGCGTCTGTTCAACGAAGTCATTGTTCTGATAATGTGACTTTTATGGACACTAGCGTGGCAATCTCAACGTGTTAATTTACACAATTCGTTAGAACAATATTATTAACACAGTCGTTACTTCTAATTCGATTTGTGCAGACACGACGTCGTATCGAATCGAAGTATCGGAAATCCAACTTGATTTCCGTCGGACAGTCTCCGAAACAAACGACTGCCGGCGAATGCGTTATCCCATGAGCACGTTTGCGAAATATAGGTCACCGATCGGTAGTCGTGAAAGCCGAAGCTGTATTCGAAAGGGATCGAAGCTTTTCGTTCGTGTGCACTACGAGTTATACATATACATCAAGTTGCGTCCTTGCAAACGTTTGTAAACTGTTCCCAAACGTTCGCAAACTGCTCGGAAACAGTATCGAAATGAACAAGTTGAGCGCTGCGTTGATCGCACATTACGTGCACATTACGTAGACAAAAGCTATTTTTACAAAATCTATATTATTCTATATTCTATATTATTATTATTCTATTATTGTATATTCTACATTAATATTATTCTATTATTCTATATTTTACATTATTATTATTCTATTATTCTATATTCTATATTATTATTATTCTATATTTTACATTATTATTATTATCATCCTATTATTCTATATTATAGTATTCTACCTTACAGTAGAGATTCGTAATGCAGTCTACTCGTTTCTAAAAAGCTGCAAACTATAATCTGTCTAAATCATTATAGATTCTCGATAAATTTGTCTACATACAATGTAATGCAAAATAATCTCAATAAAAGATTAAAATTGCTTGAAATAAAAAAAATATATTATTCTATCACCGTCACTTCTACACTTTATCGCCAACATACATCAACTAATAGAAACATGCGAATTCTTTACATAGTATAGTAGTATATGTATTCAAGCATCTCATACATTCAGAACAGGGAAGAACACATACTTCTGAAATTCAAACGGTCAACATCACACATACGAACCACTTGTAACGCACAGAACACGTTATTTTATTATATTAAAACAGTTTGCTACCAAAACTGTGTCAAACTTAAATTGCACCTCAACTATCTCTGCGGTATTAACTTACCAACGGAAATTTATCATCCGCGAGTAAGAGACAAAACACAGAGCATATAAAACATTCCGACCACAAGGTTGAATTCAAAATACAATAATAACAGCGATATATTCGAAGAAACTGAATTCTACTAGGATTTTCGAAATGCCGAAATTACTATTCGATTGTATTGTAATTTGTCGACTAAAGTCAACTAACCAGTCCAATGAGGGAAACGCGAGTGTTCGGATAGCAGAACAAATGCATAATTAAAGTGCTCGATTAGACCGTTACTGATATGTACAATAAATAGTGCTGCATTTAGATTGCATTCGATCGATTTGTTTACACATACTACTTGAATAATATAGAATTCGGATATCGGAGGTTCGGATAATCGAAGTTCTATTGTATTTTGATTATGTGGAAATTTTGGGATCGATATTCGGTATTTAACGTATTTAACTTATTTGCATACTGTTCGCGAACTGTACGTAATGCATAGTAATGATAAAAAGTTTGAAATTGTTCGCCAATATGTAATATACGCGCACTGTTCGTAGGTTATCCTAATGTGAGGTCCACACTGCTGTCTAAGAGCAGTTCGCGAACTGTTATCTCCAGTGTGACTCGACGGTGAAACTTATTCGTAATCGATAAAACCGTGTGGGGCAGTTATCCGTATCGCATTGTGATATGTAATCGATATTATGCAATCTCTGCTAGATTTTTAATACTGCACTCTTATGTAATTATCGGAATAAGAATTTGTATGCTTTTACTGAACCGCGCTGCATTTATATTTGTTTATAGAAATTAAAACTTGTGACTAGACATTTTCTACCTCCACGCGCAATTATCACGGAACATTTGAGTAAAATTTATTGTTGTTTACATTAAAAATTGTTGTTTACATTGTACCGATGTATAAACTACGCGACTGAAGTTGAAATCCAATAGCAACTCTTTTGAAGGATATACTGCGCCTCTTTCTACGATCTGGATATCTATTAGAAATTATAATATCGAATTTCTATTTAAACTTCTATTGAAAATCTAGCAAAACTTAAATTTTCATTAAAAATCTATTGTAATCTAAATTTATAATAAAAATTCATTATCGTTAACGCCATTCCTATTTAAAATCAATTCATTTAAATTTCCATTAAAAATCTATTATAATCCAAATTTATAATAAAAATTCATTATCGTTAACGTCACTCCTATTTAAATTCCATTAATTTAAATTTCCATTAAAAATCTATTATAATCCAAA